AGCGTGTACATGGGAGTTCAATGAATAATAATTCCCTGAAAATAAACCAGGCAGAGGGAACAAGTGAATGAGCTGTGCAAGAAGAATGCATGTCAGAAGGACAGACGGACCCACCTCGTCACAGCAGGAAATGGTGGGAAGGAGACGGGTGGACAAACAACAGGAATAAAAATATAGATGAACCTTTTGGCTTCATCACTCTCCCTTCATCCTTTTCATCCCCCCTCCACCATCAATTAGCCAATGCCAGGAAATATGTCTCTGAATACATTAAAATTCCTTTGGGAATTATCTGAAGGAAAGGTATCCTGAAGGTGGAAGACTCTCTCTAAGAAGTGCTGCTTGCTCTTGCCTGCTAGGTCTGTATTCTCTTTTTCTCCCTTCTGGGATCTTGTTGGTCAAGACAGGGCACAAGACTGGAAAAGCCCACCAGAGCCATAGGTTCCAATCCCTTGCTACTGCAGGCAACACGTTATGAATCCTTTTCTTAAACCAGTGCATTTATTAAAACCAGCCATTTCTCCTTTAGCCCCTGTTTTGGAAGGATAAACAAACTCAGCTCTTTCAGCCTTCTCTCATAAGCCTCCATGGCCATCCTAGTGACCATGCACATCTCCTGCTTTGTGGGCATCTCTCCCAGACAGGTGGCAAGTCTCCAACTCATCTGGCCACTGCCCACAGTGTCATGGTCTGTCCAATGGATCTGTAGTTGTCTGGGTTCAGCCCTGGTTCTCCTGTCCTCTTCTGCTTGTACCTGGGTGTGCTGAGGATTCCCAGCAATGCGGCATCCTCCTTGTGCATGGGACATGCCTAACACCCAAGGATTGGAGATGCATGCACTGCAGTCTGAAAGCTGGAACTCACAAGGCAAGTGAAAGCAACAACATGGATCAAAATCTAAGAACCTTATTTTTAGCATAAAATAGTGATAATACTTTTAGACTCAGCTGCTCCTTAAAGCTTAGGGTTTACCCACACTGAGTAAAAGTTAAATCCTCACAGTTTTAGTGGGAATAGGTCAAATAGATTTTCACTTTTTGATCAGTGTTTCATTCAGTCCTGTGGAATGGCTATCATTGCTACAGATGGACTTGTAGTGGAAAAATATCCAAATAATCAAAATGTAAACCAAACTGCCTCCAAAGAATTCAGGAGAGCACTTGCACTTGCTTCCCACCACCCCAGCCCTCACTCAGCCCCACACCTCTTCCCTCACAGCCAGCAGGGAGAAGACATTCCATGCCTGGGTTTTAGTCAGGGGTGGGCAATAGTAAGTCCTACAGTCCCTACAACATAAGTAAGTTTTGGGTTCTTTAGAGAAGAAACAAAGGTGGGAACAAAGTCAGGCCTCACATTCATTTTAATGAATGACAGAAGACAGCAGAGGCTGGAGAGGGTGTATCCACCATAGTGTCCCTGACAACTCTCTTTCCTATTCACTGGCACCAGGGCATGCCCACAGCATCTTGTCTCTTGCTAGTGCTAATGGACCCAAATGAAAAAAAAGGGCCTGGGGGCGGTATCGAGGTCATGCAATTAATTTCTGTGCTAAAGAACCAGAAAACCTTCTTTGAGAGTCCATAAGACCAATCTTCATACAAGCTGAGACTTAAAGAAGCAGCCAACAGAGCAGCAGAATGGCATTTAACATCTCTTCCCTGCGCATTGTCTGGTGTCTAATACGAACTGAATTCACTTCTTGTAGAAATTTAGTATCTTGAAACTTCTGCCTGTTTCTCCAATTCAGCTGAAATCAGCCAATGCCTTCCACAGTGTTGGGTGTGGGGGATAGACAGAGCGAGACAGCATGATCACATACGTCTTGCATTCCTCGGATGACGGGGAATGAAGGGGGAGAGGCAGCTCAGAGAGCTGGTAGGGGTGTATAACTAGATTAGATAACTGACTTCCCGCTGCTGAGAGAGGGAGAGACAGCGCTGCTTTCAGCGCTCCTGCTCCATTACAAATAAGTGATATCATGACTTAAAAAAAATATCACCTACTAGCCTACTATCCCACTCTGCTTCCCCCAAAAGATTGCAGAAATGGCTTGCTAAGAAAGAATTAAGATGTAATAGGGATGGAGATGCAAGAGGAAGAGAAAAAACAAGACGGCAAACTCTTCCTTCAGTTTAAACAAACTACAGAGCATCCTAGAAGAATGGCAAAAAAATTAGCACGGTCAGAAAAAATAGTGCAGTTGCTTTTTCCCAATGTGGTTTTTCAAGAGTATTTAACACTTGGGTATTTCCTTTCAGTGCTTTCTGCCATTCAAAAGTTTTTGTTATTTAGCTTTTCAGATCAAAAGTGTTTTTCCCTATAAAATATAAAAAAAATCCTAAAGCAAACTGTATTTCTGGCTAAGTCAATAATGTGTGGTTATGTGAAGCAGGATCAAATGGAAAACTGAAAAACTAGAAGAACTCTGAGCAGACCAAGCAGCTCAAGAAGTGCCTGAGAGTCAAACCTTGATCTGATGCAGAGTTTATTCAGAACTGAACAGCCAGGTTAGGGCTTGGGCACTGTGGCACAATCTGTGTGCCTTTCACAAGACAATTATAGTAGAGAAGACTGGTGAGCTGTGTACTCAAAGAGAAAGGTGTGGACCAGGCTGGTAAACACACTTATTCCCTGTTGGGTTTTTTTTGGTTGGTTGGTTTTTTTCATAAGGATACTGTGGAAAAACATTTGTTTTTCAGATTGAGAGGGCCTGTGATCAACCTCAGGGGACCTGTTCCACATCAGCTTAGGATCCTGGATTGTGCTTGAGGAAGAGAATGAAGAAGCGAGGAAGGCTACAGGTAACCAGGGTAGGAGCACGGATGAAAATCAAATATTAAGAAATACTGACCGAGGGTGGATAGGCAAAAAAAGAAGGGGCCAACAAGCCAGTTTGAAGAAAGAAGTGCCCTTCTCTTGGCCTCAGCGATATGCAGAGGGGCCTGAGGTCAGATTTGAGGTCTGCCCATGACAATGCAGCTTCTGTGTTTCCCTTGACAGACAGTGATCCAGCTGGAGAAAGCGGTCATCCCTTCTGCTTTCAAGGTCTGGGGGAGTCAAGAGCAGTTCCCTGTCCGATATGTGGAGGCTTGGCTGCCTGATCTGAGGGGCAGGGAGGGGGCAAGGGGAAGCCGCCAGGACCCTTGTTTATTGTTCCTCAACTTTCCTTCCCACTGTGTGTTTCATTCCCTGGGGCAACACTGCAGTCACTCTGCTGAGTATTTAAAGAAGGCTTGCCAATGGCCCTCACTAGCAGAGTCCCACCAGCCTTACAGTCTTTGCTTGGAGCAATTTGGTGCTTTTTCTCAGACATGGACATTCAACCTATATGAAGGATTTCAAGAGACAGACTGGAAAAGTCCCCTTGAAAGAGTCCTTGGGAAAATGCGATAAGCATTTAGTATAGTGATGATGACAAGGGTCATTACTCAGTTTAACCCATCAGGGATCAAGAGACCACTTCTGCCCTTCTTCACTCACCAACCATTTGAAGATAGTTCCTTTATAGTGACCTCAAGTGCAATAACATTTGAAGAGAAGGACTATGAGGGGAAAGGCAGAGACTGGAGGTTTAGGAAAGAATTAACAGGTCATTTTGAAGAGCATCAGGTCTAGCTTTGAAGCTGACCCTGCTCTGAGTGGTGGAGCAGGTTGGATCAGAGGTTTGAAGGGTGAATCTGAATTATTATTTGATTCTATGGTTCCATGTGAGAAGTGTGATTTTAATTTTTTTTTCCTATTATTTTTAAGGATATTTACTGAGGCAGCCAGCAAAATAAAGACTTAGATAAGAAAGTGCAAGTGAGAATAGCTTTGCTAATACCACCCAGTACTGACAAGTGCAATACCAATAAAAAGAGGAAAATGAAGTGTTCATGGTACGATAGCTGCAAAAAAATTACTTGCTAACTTTTCTGTTCCAGACACAACATTTGATCAGAATACGTGTGCTCATGTATAGTCCTAAGTAACAGCAACCCTTTGAAAAGAGAAGGAACACCTTATCAAGGGCAACAGGTCTTGAGAAAGTCTTCAAAACCACTGCATTAATAATTCTATACGCACATGCACACATGTGCATGCACACACACACGAGACACAATCACCAACTTTGTAAAGGCAAAAAATATCAGGTCATTCAAACAACAATCACCAGCTTGCTTTATCCATCCGAGCAGTTTTATAGCCTTAATGAGTATAAACCATGCACACGACTCCTTCAGGATCCCTAGCTCATCTCCACATATCACTCTTCTTATGCTTGCTTTCAAGTTAGGCGCATGCATATGATTATTAATAATAATTTCTATTTTGACACCAGCATTCAAAGTCTCAGTCAATTCTGGGACTTCATTTCAACAGACACCGCACTAACACAGACCGCAACATGAAGAGTTTTCAATTGAAATGGATGGCTGGTGCCAAGGCTAACAGAGAAACAGAGAATTTGTCAAATGTCCTTCAGAGCACATCAGAAAACAGGTCATGAGCCTCCTAACTGTTCCTGTGGGCTTTCAACAAATTAAAAGATTTTGCCATATGTAGTTATTTTGCATACTTCTGTATATACTTCCATCCATACAAAGGTTTTAAGCTTAAATCAGGGTAAGCCAGGAGACTTGTATAGCTCACACGTGGAACATAACATCACCAACATGTACTGTGGCACACTGGCTTTGCACCTCTTCAGGCATATGTACAGAGAGCTGTGAGGTAATTTCAATGCTTCCAATGGAAGAAATTATAATCCTATCACCAGAACAGAGAGTTTCATTTTAAGGTGAAATAGCAACTGATTCTGCAAAGGTAGGGAGGACAAAGGGATGGTCCAATAAGATATTTTCATTTCTAGCTTCCACAATTCTGTAAAATGGGCATGTCTTAAGAAACCTCATTAGTTCCTTTCTTCAAGAGAAGAAATATATCCACAGTTTTTCTGTCATCTAGACCTCAGCCCTGTCCACACGCATTTCTTTGAGCCAAATTCAGTTGTCACTTACCTGTTCCACTCGGATATCAAATTCTCCATTCACCTTCTTCCCCTGGAAATATTTGGCCCTGCAGAAGAAATGAGAGAGACAAACATGGTTATAGGAGGTTTTTGGCTTTCATAACATAACAAGTTTTGCTTCTGCATTTGCCTTTTTGCTGAAGAATTTTCATCCGGGTCACAACATGCTTTCTTAATTCCTATCTTCTTTCAGCTTTCTGTTTAGCAGGAGAAACCTGCCAAGCCAGATGAAAACCACATTGGAAAGTTCCTTCAAGGTTTGAAACGTTTTCATTTGATTTTCAAACTGAAAACGAAATGCTCTCCTAATCTTTTCTAGAGCAGCAACTCATACCAAGGAATCATTGATTAATCTCATTTAATACCCAATCTTTATTCTGTAAAAGGAGGAGAGCAACATATGGTGTGGCATTGGGAACTTCTTATGTTGAGGAAGGATCTTTATCATCACAGCTGAAGTACTTATGAAGCCTATTCCCTTGCCCTCTCATCCCAGAGTTACTTTTTGATTCTGTTTGTCTTTCTGCTACTGATTTAGAGAAACATTATCTGCATCTACAGTGTCATTAATGAAGGATCTCTTCTCCTGAACCAAGAAACTGTGTTTCCTTTGGAGTTGAACAGTGTCATGAGAAGGACATATATCTTCCACCACCTCTGCTCCTAGCTATGTAAACAAGAAAGCACTTTCAGAAGGATCAGTTCTTCATGACAGAGGAAGGCTAACACTGGTGTTGGAGAAGAAAACACAGGAAAAGGGCAGGCAGTTTTAGCTTTTTTATTCATAGTTGTGTATAGTGCCCCTTATATTGATTAGTCAGCAGGGAATTTGTGAATATAATTTCCCCTGTGAATATTTCTTTCCAATTTTTCACCTCAAACAAACAAGATTGACAGAAGAAAAAATGAATTTATTCTCAGACCTCCCCCCTCAAACTTCAGGAAGAAAATGCAGGTTCCAAAAAACTCCAAAAAGCACTGAAAACACAGTTAAGCCTTGCAAGAGCTGTTTCCAGAGACAAAGTAACTCTCTGCATTCTGTTTCCAACTGGCAAAGAGAAGACAGAATAAAGAAGTAAAGGAAAATGAGGGGAAGCCGGCTTTGCTCCCTATTTTAAAGTATTAGCAAAAAAAAAGAAGCTGGCTCACGTTTTTTACTATGTGTCTATTTGTTCCAATAAAAAAAGGAGCGACAGTAGGAATGCAATTTTCCCCATGGCTGAAACACACCAGTTTTCAGCTGAGTGCTCTCCTCCCCCAGAGATGGGAAATGTAAATAAAAAAAAAGTTGTTTTGTCATTCTGGCTCAAAACCAAGCAAAAAGTTTTCATTTTATTAGAAAAAGACACAAAAAATGTCAAAAGTTTTCCATGCCATTCTAATGAGGGTATCTGAAAGCTTCATCACGCTTTCCTTCCCAGGCAGCCCATCTATCAGCATGGTGCTAATAAGACCTCTGTATAGATGGTCAGTGAGGGACAGTGCAGCAGCCAGGTGTGACCGAGATCAAGTGGCTCAAACAACCCCTGTTCGGCATAAAAGCAGAGCTCTGGCCATTTTTCCTCCCTTTTTTGAATTTATGACTGCTGCACGAAAAAAAGCAACTCAAGAAACAAGCTGAGACATCATGCCTCTAACAATAAACAGGAACACTAAATACACTTAATAATTCCATCGTATTTCTGGAGACATGGCTATAGAGGACCTGGCAATATTCCTTGCTCCTAAACACTGGGGATACTGCCGGAACCAGTGACTTCTCAAAAACTGGATAAGCTTTAAGTGGGCCCACAGGAACTGGTCTGAAATTTGAGGCACGCTATTCACTGGTACAAGCTTGTTTTTATTCCCAGCACACTCATAATGTATACTCCTTACCCACATTTACAAAACACACTTCCTCCCTCTATGGCCTCTCCTCTTTGACAACCAGCTGGTTGCAAACTCCTTGGTGCTGCTTTGCTTCAGCTTGTAACGAAGTGTGATTAACCATGGTCTTCAGCCCAGTACAGATGGAGCAAAGAGGCTTCCTCTGCCTAGTCCAGGAAATTAGCCTTTACATGGTTAACAAATCCTCTCTCCCATCTCTAGAGTACTGGCTCTGACATGGATAGTCACACAGAGGGCACATCCAGCATGAGGAATCGTTACAGTAGGGCAAAGGACCTCAACTTAGACACCATGTGACCTCTCCTTCTTATCCTTCTTTCCGCACAAGTTTTCTCATCCCACGCCTCAGATAACTTTCTTTTAACAGTACAATATATCATTTTCTTTCAAAGACAGCCCCCCCAGGAGGGTTAACCTGCTCCGAGTGTCTCTGAAGGCTACAGGTGCTAAGCAATTTGCAGGCAAATGTTTTGGTCAGCCCATCATTTTGACACAGTCCAGGGTAAGAATGAAACACTTCTTACTGAAATGGATGGAGTGATGTTTTCAATTCGCACCTGGGGTTTTGGAACCCCTGGGCAGCAGTGGCTATCATGCTGAAATGAAAAATAGCTTTAGCCTCACCCTGGAGCCCCTGAGATTTCAGTCATTGCTGATGCTACGGAAACATCATGATGCCTCTGGTACAAGAGGGAGAGTCTTTTGGTCAGTACTGCACAATGTATGAAATGGCTTCTGATCTGTACGGTGGACATGAGATGGAAGAAAGGACCACAGTGCTCTGGTGGGGATGCAGAAGAAAGACAGATGGATGTTCCTGGCAGGTGAGCCTGTGCAAGACATTTGTGAATGCTCTCTGCCCCAAAGTCACCTGAGCGAGGCTCTTCCAGACCTTTGCCTAGGAAGTGACATGCTGCAGGGCTATCTAGGCAGCTCATAGTGCAGTAGGGGAGCAGCACCCAGAAGACCAGCCAAAAGCCTTCCTGAGAAGCCTCTGAAATGATGCCATTCACCTCCAGCACAGCCAGCTGCCAGTGATCAGAGGAGCAGCTCATTGCCATGGAAGGGGGGCTGTGTGGCATCTCCCATCTTGGGACACCAGGCGAGGCACTGGACATGCAAACCCACCCTCTCTCTGGGGCATCCTGCAACACTGACCACCACTTGGCTGGACATCCCTTCATTTTAAAGCATGTCAGATGTTCAACCCACCAGAACACAGCATTATAATTTGGCTAGGCAGCGTGTAGATGGGGTGGGGTGGTTGCTGTGATCTCAGTAAATCAGCATGTAAACATGTTTTGAGTGAAGAAAAGTGCAGGGCCATGCTCAAGAGTAGTTCCTGGGTGGGATTTACAGTGGTAGCCAACGCATTTAAATGTGGCCGCACCAGCTGGGAGGGAGGAAGCACCATAATAAACAGCCAAAGGTCTGTCCTGGCTTCCAGGAAGAAAGCTTGCCTTGAACCCCTCTCTCTTTGTGATGAAGAAGCCACATGCTCTGGAAAAAGAAATAGTTTCTGGGTGCAAGAGTATCAGACAAACATAACTTCTGCTTTCTGCCTCAGCCCTTACATGATTACAGGGCCACAAGAAACCTGATGCCTCTTCTTATGAAGTAATTTGGAAAGAATAAAAACTTATTTTCCAGAGCTGCCATGAAACAGCCCCGGTCTGACTCAGTGATCATGGCTGGAGGAAGCATATACACAATTTTCTGTCAGATACGGAGTCTATCCTTAATAGCAGCAGGGAAAAATAAGTGATCAATTCACCTCCAATAACCTACATAAGAACTAATTCACAGAAAGTTCATGCAGAACATTAGTGCCCTTATGTGTTTGCAAAGAATCTGTCTGCACAAGGGATGTCAGCACTGATCCAAGACTGCAAACATACCTGTAAGGCACTCAAGTTTATCCCTCTGGTGGCACCAACAGTCCTCATGGAGCGCTAAGTTCTCTGTAAAAGCCTGGTGTGTCACTGGGCCCATGGGCAGTAGAGCTGGGCTGGTGGGCTACAGGTGTGAGAGCTGGGGCCAGTCTGCACTGCTGTGCTGCTCCTGCATCATGGGGAAACATGGCACAAGAGAAGCAATTCCCACACGTTGAGTAGGGGCTTCCAGGATCAGCAGCAAAGGGCCAAAACTCATAAACTGCTTCTGTCAGGAGTGCACAGATCATCTTGCCATTTTTCTCTGTATGACAAATAACTGGTTACATCTGCCTTGTTCTCTTTCTGCTTTGAAAAAAATGTAGGTGCAATGAGTGATCAACCTGTCAGCCAATACGCATGCTCAGCACAGGAATTCAGGAGAAGCTATTTGTGCAGAGCTTGTGCTGTCTCTCTTGGAGTTATTTCTTCTCTCTTCCATCTGCTTTTTTTCCTTTTGGTGCAAAGAAGCACATCTAAGCTGCTTCAGAGTACCACCTCAGTGTTTTCTTCTGGATCTGTGGGAAACAGAGACATCAGGGATGCAGCAGGGGACTGCACAACTTCTGCCAGGCTTAAGAATGCTCTGCACAGGTGAGGAATAGGAAAAAATGCCCAGCTATCAAGCATCAGCTAGAGAAAGTGCCCGAGGAGCTCTTCCCCAGGTACAGTGCCACTAAACAACAGCCCATGTAAGAAAAGATGCAGAACACCAGAACAGAGAAGGCAATACCCAGTAGGGACAAAAGATTTGAAGGGATCATGGTGGGCTGGAAGAGTGCAGTGATTCAAAGTTAACAAGCCGTTCCTGCAGTCCATTAGCTGGATGAAGCAGAGGCTGTAACACATTATGCAGCTTTGAAGACAGGCTGGTATTTTGTATTAAATTCATGGGACTTCTTCAGGGTAGTCTGTAAAACGGTTCCTGTATGAAACAATTTTCTAGGATAGGAAGAGATCAAAGAAATATAGCTCAATGCTTCCTGCGAGCAACCTCAATGTAACTGAGGTAGCAAATGTCATTGCAATTGCTGAAGGTCTTGGAGTCCTTCAGACAAACAGATAAACTTGAGCGCATATCACCTTGATGTGAACAAACGCAGGTCCTTTTTGGGGCACCACTGTTCAAGAGCAGCCTTGAGCTACAAACTCAGGAGCAGGCTTGTACCTTCACCCCAGAAACAGGTTCAATATCCCTGACAGCATGTCAAAGAGGGACACTGGGA